GAGCTGTAGTCGAAAAGTATCGTATGCTGCTTGTAAATCACTCTTTTGTAAATACATCCATACCCATCCACATTCATACTCTAAAAAAAGAAGGTATCTGAGAAAACCGTTAAAGGGTTTCCGATTTCGTTACTATCTGAAACTCTTTAAGGGTTTTCAAAAATGGATTTCCGAAGGTTCAGAAATCTATCCAAAACCAGTCATAATGAATTACTATATATTACTTCCGAAAACCCATTAAAGGTTTTCGAGGTTCATAAACTGCACGGACGACTACCTAAGTAGAATGGCAGAAGAACAAAAAAAAATGTTTCAACCTACAAAACCATTCCCTGTCTACAAAGAAACCAGGAAAACACTACAGCCACACCCTCATAAGACTAGACATTCATCAGCCGACCACTCTAGCCCACTTCGTCTAATATAGTTTTCGATCCCAATATTTTTTAATCTCAACCTAAACAAAAACATTAAATATACGTCTAAAATTTAGGCTGCTTAAAATTTTACCTTGATTTAAAACTAAATGTAAAAAGCAAACGCACGAATAACTTCAGCAACACTAACATATGATCTTTCCTCTCATTCATAATAAATGCACATATAGCAGTATGACGTACTTTCCATAGACCTTACGAATCGATCGTCATTTCACTCAATCTAAATACAAATAAATTATATACAATCATAAACAAAGCCTCACCGATGGATTCTGAATCGGATCGTCCTCAAAAAAAAAGAAATATCATATAGAATGATTTGAAGCAAACTGACAGAGGGATTGTAAATTGGTTCTTCCAAACTTTAAAAAAATAAAAGATAGAATATAGAATTATTTGAAACGAGCTCACAGATTACATTGTCATTTCGTTGATCGCAAATAAAAAAAAGACAAACAGAATATAGAGCAAGTTAAAACAGAGTCATGGATGGATTGTCGTTTGGTTCATTCAAACTAAAGAAAAAGAAATAGAGTGTGAGGTGGGTGTGGATCCAGATTTCAATCACATCCACACCAACCTACACTCGATGTCAACAGTTTTACATGATTGAGGAAGGATTCCTCATACTATTCAAAAAGTTTGGTAGGCCACAGTCTAGTCTAAGTTGACTTTCAAAGCTTTAGAAAAAGATTCCTTCAAAATATTGACATCGTTTATGTTCCCACATTTCTTATCGAATTTAGCTGTGTCGATAGTGCTAAAATATAAATTTTCTACAATAGCATTATATGCTTATCAAATGACAAAAAAAAATCGAAACTAAAAAATACATTTTGATAGTCAGCTTCTGTTAACATGATTCTCCATTTGAAATCTATTATAATATAACTGTTGACAAAAATACAAGCATTCTGCCGTATATACAAACCGCTTGACTTTAATTCGACGTCACTCATCACAGATGTTGATTGCACTCTATGTAACGTAGTACAATACTATCCTAATGCAACAACATCCATATTCATACCTACTGCCATTCTTACACTACCGCTGAGATAATGATAAAAACATCACACAAACCATATGAAAAGGATTTCTATTTTTCTTTTTAACGAAATGTTGCTCTGGCAAGCCAGTGTTTCCACCAACCCACATTTTTTCGTCATCGCAACATGTATATGATCAGATTTGATCATTTACCTCTTGATAAATTGTAATAAGCAACTTGACTTGTCAGTATGTAGAGTACGTCATTTCTTCTGTGCTTACACATTTCATTTTTGCATTGTCCTTTTTAGTTTCATTCGTGAAGAATATACAAATCAATTACATCATATTCATAGCTATCGTTTTCGAACTCCAGTTTCGATCAGATTCATTTGTTTAGAGCGCCTCAAAGATCTTCAGGAAGCTTTGATTTGAAGGATCTGTTTAAGTGTAATTATGAATTCGGTCTCGAATCTTAGTTATTGGTTTTTGCTTTGTTTCACTTTCTTAAACAGATTCTTTGTTAGATTTGTTCGAGTTCTTCTTCACATTTTCTCTAACTTAAGAATTCGAAATCTTACAAGGATTCACTGTCTCAAGCTTTGCCAACATGGTGTATGAACGCGCGGTTAGCTTGTAAGAAGATTTTACCAAGCATTGTTGGGTTTCTCGCCTAGAGCTCTTCAGATTAGAATATTTTCAAGATTCAAAGGTTTCACCGTATGAGAATCTTAAAATAAATTATACGATCAATGAGATTGATTAATTGAGAAACATTATCAACCTAACATCAGGATATTCCCATGGATCTTTATCCAAAAGTATCGTTTTTTCAGTGCTGAAAAGCCAATGCTAACAAAGAGCAAAATCTTAATGCATTAGTATGTTGGCGACAATGTGATAAATCGTTGCTTTTTCTAATAAAACTTGGTTGTGTAATCGGCTACTATCATTCACTATATCGATAATCACATCGATGTTGTTTATGTTATCTCGATTTGTACTGTTATATAGACAAGTTTCTATCAATATATAATTCATGTTAATGAATATTTTTTGTTGAGAACTAGGGTGGGGTATGGGTGTGGGTGTGAGTGTGGGTGTGGGGGTGGGGGTGGGGGTGTGGGTGTAGATAAAACGCAGACCCACAAATACACCCTCAAATGCACCCACACCCACACCCACACCCACACCCACACCCTTATCTTATTGTTTACCATTAGCTAATATGTTTGATAAAATTATCGAAAATTGTAACAAACATGATATCGGACATGAATTTTATCTCGACAATGAAACAAATAATTTGAGTGAATATTATCATTCATGGAATACGAGCATATGCATTACACCTGAAAAAATTTGTCGTCATCATTCACAAAGATCATTATAACAAGATGACGTGTGCCTTCAACGAACCGATATTTTAAAATATTGATTTCAATTTGATGTCTATCTTATAAGAAACAAAGAACACTTATGGACCATAAAACATGCTTTAAGTACATCTGAAAATTCTCGTTTTTTAACTACTTGACGATCCGGTTATTTTCCAAGGCCAAGTACTAATATTTCTGTTCTATCTATTACTAAAACTAAACAGAAGAAAATGATTTTACCTAATATTAATATTAAATTTGTTGGATATTATCATCAAGGTATTGTTGTCTTAACTGGTGCCAATGAGACAAAAAAAAGGTCTTTGTCCACCAAATTATTTTGGTAATCGATGTCAGTGGCAGAATCAACGTATCAGTTTAACTCTTCAATTCTGAGTACGCACCAAAATATCTGTAATGAATGTTTTTCAAATAATTATTATGCTTTATGGATGAATAAGGACAGATCGTTGGTAATCATGAACAAATCACATATATGCCTGTTCGTGATTGTAATACAAAATATAATATTTACTTACTTTATCAAAATCTTCCCAAAAATCTATCTATAAATTATTCAATTCATATTGATGCTTTTGATAAAATAACTTTAGATTATTGGACTAGTTGGTATTTACCTATACCATTTTCATTTTTACCTGTTAATCGGATTGCTACTCAATTACAAATTCATGATATTGAAGATAGAGAACCATGTTCTTTATCATGTGAAAATCATGGTCGATATGTGAGATATACAAATAATAAATCATTATTTTTTTGTCAATGCAAACATGGATATTCTGGTCCTAGATGTAATATACAACATAGATGTTCATGTGCAAATAATTCGTATTGTCTTACTTCATCTATATGTGTATGTTCATTACATAAGTTTGGTCCTCGATGTTATTTAAAAATTTCGATTGGTCAATCAAACAATAATCCATGTCAACATAATGGTTAATGTATAACACATGATGATCGAATTAGTTTTAGAAAATTTACGTTTTTCTGTAAAGAAGATTATTCAGGTGAAAGATGTGAAAATATAAATAATAAAATTACAATACGTTTGCGTGAAACAATAACAATAATAACTTCGCCTTTATTCATACATTTTATCACAGCATTTTCAAATGTAAAACATGAACAAACTACTATGATGAAAAAAATTCCTTATGATAAATATATAATTACATTTATTGCACCACAATCATTTTATTATATTTTTATTCAAAGACCTCATCAAAATCATTATTTAGCTGCCATTAGAGAAATATTTATACTAGCAGAGAAAATTTATACTGAAATATTACCAAAACAACGTTGTTCTCCAATTGAAGAACTTCTTAATAAGACATTTGTTAGTTATGAATACTTTAATCGTACAAAATATTATTCACTTATATGTCAACAATATTCTCAACTAATGTGTTTCTATGATAAAGAAAATATGTGTATTTGTGATCTTGATCGATTCTCAAATTGTTTTCTTGTCAATCATACATTCAATTATGATTGTCAAGGATATAATTATTGTGACAATAATGGACAAAGTTTTCAGAAAAATCAAACATGTCCAACAAAATCAATATGTACAGTCCCGGACAAAAATTTACGTGAAATTGATTTTTCAGTATTTTTTCTCAAATTTTTATTTCCGTAGTTTTTTTCTTCATTTTATTAGGTATAGGTTTGACTCAAATGGTTATACAGATAGTATGAGAGCTTAGCTACATCATCTATTAAAGAACAACATTCTATCTCTTCATATAGATTTTTTATAATTAAAATAATTTCGTTCTATGCAAAAGCAGATTTCGGCGTCTTTCAGTATTTCGCATTTTCTAGTCAAGAGACTCGTGTTAAAATAAAACAAAATTATATCAATCGATAGAGTATTTCACGCTCTATCAGTTTATAAAAAAAGCTTTTTTTTCTTAGAGTTAATTTTCACCTCTAAAACTTGGTTTTAGTGAGAATAGTCAGCA